ATACAAGGAAAGGGGCCAGGATGAGGACACCATGAACCAATACAGCCGTAACTACTGACTAGGCTTAGAAATAGGGATGACGCAGCATGGGGCTTAAGCTACATCAATACTGTGGCAATCTGTACATAGAGTAAACTACCCGTACATAGGACATCCGTCCATCGGATACCTTTCCTTAGGAAAACTACCCGTATATAGGGCATCCAACCATATGACCCTAAAAATACGAAACTCGTGTTTAAATCCTACCAGGGTGTAATAAACACAATAAACTTACCTCGAAATACTTCTAAGAGCTTAATAATAAACAAATTCATCTGCCCTTTCTTCCATTCAATATTCTGGAGGACAAAACGAAATCAACGTGCCAGGAAACACCAAATACGACTTGAGTTGGGCCAATCCAAAACTCTACCCTAAAAATACTCAATAATAATATCGAATCTATAAAAGATAATATCTCATCTTTACCTGTAGCTTCGAAATAGCAGCTGATTCAGATTTTGCAGCAAGATTTAAATAATTACCATTTCTAAAAGCCGGGTTGGTGATGGCTACAAAGCGGCAAACCAAAAAAAGTGAGGTTAAAGCGCGGAGAGCGAAACCTTGGAATGATGTTGACAGCGCCTCCACAGAGCAGTGAAACGATAACAGAGTTGTCTACTCGAGAACGTAAAAATTACACCAAGCGTTCCAAATAAATTATCAGGCTTGAGCGATACGGAATCCGGTGACGATACGCCAGACATATATCATATACAGGGTGTTTCAAAACAAATGCGAAAAACTTCAGGGGACGATTCCTTGTTCAAAATTAAGGGTAGTTTGCTTCATAAACGTTGGGTCAAAAGTCAACCATTAGGGAGATATCGCGGTACAAAGATGGCGGAAAAATAATGTTTTTATTTTTTATCTTGAAAACGAAAAGAGATAGACTAATAAAATTTTATGGAAGCATTACTGTTATGAAAACACACTTTCTGGTAATTTTTTCACTGTTTTAAAATGAGTGGAAGGGGTTGAAATAAACTACCCCTATCATTCTTGTTAACGAAATTTAAAGAAAAATCTTATCAAACACATGCAAAAAAATTAATTTGGGTAGTTTAGTTTGTTTAGAAACTTTTTTATCTCTTGTATTTTTTTGATAAAACTCACCGATTTGAAATTAAAAAATAAAATGTAAAGCATTACATGTCAGGACAAAAAACATTTTCTGATAAAGAATCTAGTGGGCTGCTGTAATTTTTTTAGGAAAAAATCTAGCCGGCCGCTGTTACTTTTTAGGATGTTTCTAATATTATTTTATTTGACATTACTCTACTGCAATAGGTTATTATCTAGATGATTATTATTATCGTTATTATCACTAGATTCTTAATCTAAATTTTTTTTTTGTCCTGACATGTAATACTTTACATTTTATTTTTTAATTTCAAATCGGTGAGTTTTATCAAAAAAACACAAGAGATAAAAAAGTTTCTAAACAAACTAGACTATCCAAATTAATTTTTTTGCATGTGTTTGATAAGATTTTTCTTTAAATTTTGTTAACAGGAATGATAGGGGTAGTTTATTTCAACCCCTTCCACTCATTTTAAAAAAGTGAAAAAATTACCAGAAAGTGTGTTTTCATAACAGTAATGCTTCCATAACATTTCATTAGTCTATCTCTTTTTGCTTTCAATATAAAAAATAAAAACATTAATTTTCCGCCATCTTTGTACCGCGATATCTCCCTAATGGTTCACTTTTGACCCAACCTTTATAAAGCAAACTACCCTTTATTTTGAACAAGGAATCACCCCCTAAAGGTTTTCGCATTTGTTTTGAAACACCCTGTATATGAAAGACATGTAACGAACTAAAAGCGTTACAATATTATTAATTAAAATAATTAAAATCAGGTCGTCGTAACGTGATGTTTCAAGGTGAAGTTCGTTGCGAACATCGACTATACAAAAATATTAAAAAAACTCTTTAAATATAAAAGAGTATACTGAAGAGTGCGAGGACAGTTGTAGACACAGTAAATAGACAGTTGAAGAGACAGTCAATAGACAGTTGATAGTCAGTTGATAAGTTAGGTCAGTGAATACAGTACAGTTTCTGATAAAAGTAATTCACCATACTCTATATTTAATCTTGGCATTTCCCAAAATTGTTTTCTAATATTTAGTTATTATTTTTTATTTAATGTAGGTACTTATGATCTTTTTGTAACGGTTGTTTTAATCGAAAAAGAGAGATCCTGGTAGTGAACATAGTAAAGACCCCCAAAGCTCTGTCGATAAATAATACATCAGAAGTCACGGATACTTACTTAAAGAGTATTCTATTTCATTTATTGTATCGTGAAACAACACTTTCAAATCGGAATCAATCAGTGTTTTAAAAAGCCCTGACTTTGACGTATATAAAATTTGAACAGTTGCATTGCGTGGATATGCAAAAGCATTCTGCACCATATTTAAATTTTATGTCAGTACTGACAACGTTACCTACCTAACCAGCTACTCTCTTAATCACACATTCTTGACATCTATAATATAAATTGCTACATAGTGAATGAACAATGCTAACTAATTTACATAAAAATATTCTCACACAATAAGCTATTGATGGTCGCTGTTAAATCGAAAGAGGGTATAGATAGTTTATAACAATGATTGATAAATATTTGTTGCTGTGAGGATTTCAAAGTAAAAATCAATCATATATGATGAATTCGCTGATGTGTGGTTAAATAGAGCTGTCTGGTTACGGCAGCCACTCCTTCAACTACAAAAACAATAACCACCATTTCATAGGTGTATTGATGACTGCGCTCTAGTTACAGCAATTACAAGAAATACTGAACACATACACTGTGTCAATTTTCAAAACTTCCCACCCTTAAAATCGTTCTTGCAGTTAAAAATATGAAGAATCAGAAAGACACGTCAATTTTATTTGTAAGGGAGATACTTTAAATCAATATTTTTAGCCTTTTCCTTTCAACATTCTAGGAGGGGTAGATGTCACCCTTGCAATCTTAAGTAGGAATGGGGGTCAAGTGGCACATCGTTTTAAAGGGCGTTTAATTATCTTTTCAGTGGTATCCTACTTTGTTGCTTTTTATCCAGAGGTTTCCAAATAATCGCGTTTCAAAGTTGCGGAAACAATTAAAATGCCTGCATTGAGATTTTAGTTTTCAGGCTAGTGTTTACACAAAAATGATTGCAAATGGATCTCCTTGTAGTACAAATGATTAGAAGATTAGGTTACACCACTTACGCCCTATCTTATAAGTTGCTCATAATGTTGTCCATTTTCCTGTAAACAATAATAAAGTTTGTTTTCAAACTCCTCGCTAACATTTCGGACAACTTCGCCGGGAATTGATCGGCATTCTGCTGTAATTCGCCTTTTAAGGTCATCAATATCAGTAAATTGTGTTTTATAAACAATGGATTTAAGATGTCTCCAAAGAAAGAAGTCAAAGGGTGTTAAATCCGGTTATCTTGGAGGCCAATTGGTCCTCTTCTGCCAATCCATGTACCCGGAAATCTCTCGTTTAACCATTGTGGATTATCCTCTGCATTATTAATAGTATACTATAGTATTTCGATGTCCCTAGAAAAATTTAATAGCTACGTCCATGTTGTCACCTAATCTTCTAATCATTTGTACTACAAGGAGACCCATTGCAATTATTTTTGTGTAAATACAAGCTTGAAAACCAAAATCTCAATGCAGGCATGTTTAATTGTTTCTACAACTTTGAAACGCGATTGTTCGGAAACCTCTAGACAAAAAGCAACAAAGGAGGATACGACTGAAAAGATAATTATATGCCCTTTAAAACTATGTGCCACTTGACCCCTATTCCCATTTAAGATTGTAAGGGTGACATCTACCCCTTCTAGAGGGTTGAAAGAAAAATGCTAAAAATATTAATTTAAAGTGTCCCCCTTACAAATAAAATTGACGTGTCTTTTCGATTTTTCATAATTTTAACTGCAAGAAAGATATTATAGGTGGAAAGTTTTAAAATTGACACAGTGTATACCTGGGCATACGAGGCTTTAGGCCTTAAGCTGAATATCGATAAAATTAAAATCATGTGCACTCCCCCGAAAAAATCATAATAGTGATATAAAAATCGGAGAACTGGTATATGTAGCGGAAGCGATTTTACTAAATATATACTATTACAGCACAAGACACGCCCCCAAATACGTCATTGGAAAATATAATCTCTCTCAGCACATTCCTCCTAAATCTAAACGTTTGCAGCACAACGATACGTCGTTGGAAAATTTAATTTTATGTTCATTTCTCGTGTGTCAGGCTGTGTGGAGATGGTTGTGGGATGCAAAAAATCACATAGATATTAAAGAAAGAAAAAAACTTATGATGGAATTCCGTTATATACTTTATGCACAAAATGAAGAAGAAGCAGAGGAATTATTTGGTACCTTATGTGAAAAATGCAAATACCCAAATTTTATCAACTATCTTAAAAATGTGTGGGAAAGAAGGAACGAGTGGTGTCACTTTTATAGAAAATCATTGTGTACTAAAGGACACAACACAAACAACTTTGTTGAAGCATCTACCAGAGTACTGAAAGATATTATACTGGAAAGATGTAAATCCTTTAATGCTGTGGTATTAGATTTTATAACCAATATTCTGGATGTTACCATAACGACGTCTGATATCATTTGCTAGCAACAGAAGAAAGAAAATTAATTTAAACTACTTAAAATTTAAAGATAAAATTAGAAATTTAACAGTTAAGAAAAGAGATAATGGAACTTTTTTAGTTTCTTCAGCTGAAGACAAAAATATGCATTATACTGTTCTAACAAATTCCGCCTTATGCAATTGCGCTAGTGGAACAGGAGGGGCCTTTTGCAAACATTTATGTGCTGTAGAAAATTCGTTTAGCATCAATATTTTATCGAGTCCCCAGTTAACGGAAAATGACTGACAAAAAACTGTTTATCTAGCCACTGGTAAAAAAAACTGTTCATTTTTTAAAAACATGATCGAAAACGACGATTCGGTTGCATTTGGGGAATGCAATACCACTTTAAACGCAAGTAATCAAACCCAATCGGATTCTATAACTGATGTTGAAAATATTGAAAGTAAACCTTGTAAGTTAATCTAAAAGTTATAATATTGTTACTTGCTTAATACTTTTTGTTTTAGGTAGCGAAGAACATAAAAATGTAGTGGAAAGTCTGAAAAGGGAGTTTAGCCGTATTGCAGATTTAGCAAAACATGAGAGTTGTAATACAGAGTTAATAAAAAAGTTTGTTGGAAGCCTAAGAGCAATTAACAGAGGTAGTCAGTTGGATTCATTCCTAGCTAGCAAGCAGCGTATCAAACGAAAAACAAAATTAATAAAAGTCCACCCTACAGCACGCAGTAGAGAAAGATACAAAATGCTAAAATGGGGGGACAGAGAATTCAAAGTGGGCGCCCTTCCAGAAAAAGAAAACACAACCTGTCCCTTAATATCATGTCTAATCTTCCTAATTCCAAAATTCATTAGATGTTGCTGTGTGTTGCTTTGTGCTGTTTTATTTTGCAGATATTAGATATAGCTCCAATTAAAAGAGTATGTATTAAAATTCAATTTATTCCATTTCACCCGATTTGTATGACTCAGCCACGTTGTTGTGCTGCAAACGTTTAGATTTTGGAGGAATGTGCTGAGCTAGATTATATTTTCCAATGACGTATTTGGGGGCGTGTCTTGTGCTGTAATAGTATATATTTAGTAAAATCGCGTAGCGAAATGCAATTACCTCAGCAGTTTAATTTCGGAAAAGGAGAAATAGAAATGGAAATATATTTGCAGGATTATTCTCCTTAAATTAGTTTATAATCGAAATTATCATATCTATTATTAATACCTGCAATTTATTCATTAATTTATGTTAGTCAATAACATTTTATGTTTGTTAAATCAATATTAAATGCGTTGGAGATGTATCAATATAACTAGTTTGTTAAATCAGATATTAAATGCGTTGGAAATTTTTTATAGGATTCTTTAAATTTCGGATTTATTAGGATAAATAAAAATAATTGAGACATACGAGTACCTATCTGCAAACCTTATTTCTAATGTATAACAATGTTATCTAATATTTCATAAAATAGGTAACATTTATTAACATATCGAATTAATTAGCACACTGAGACTTTTCTGTAATATCTGTTGTATCGTCTTCTTGCACCGAATAACGCGCTTTTTTATTTCGGATTCTTTTATTTCTGTGGCGTGTTCTGAACGTCGCGTGTCAAATACTTGTCAGCGAGTAAGTGTTGATGAGGACCAAAAGCAAAAATGCGCTTTTAATGCTAAAGTTGCTACAAATCATTACTGTCTTATTCAATCTCAAATAAAAATAAAGCTATACCCGTCTTTGTACAACATACGGTTATCTCTTATGCTAATTTATCTTTTTGTATACAGCAAACAAACTTTTTTAACATTGAAAATGTTTCTGTTATCCTATATAAGGGAGCCCAAATCGAATTAAAATGCTACATTTGCCACACCATGACGTCATATATACAAGGGTATAGGAAATCTCGGCGCAGCGGCGGCAGTCGGCCAGCGCGCGCAAAAACCATTACATCGCTAATTGTTTATTGATATATCTTTATTAGTTTAAAAGCAAAAAATATGGGGTTTGCTTTCATACCTTGTCAAGACATAAGCGAAACTTTTAAATTGTTTCTTTTTTTCATTTAGGCCTTCGTTTTTCGTTAAATGAAAGTTATATTAAAAAAAATCTATTTTTAAACCAAATTTTCGCATGATTGAATTGATTATTCATGTTTAAAGTTTTTTTTGGTCATAAGCGCTAATGGAAATGTTTTTTTGTAAATAATTATAAAAAATTACTCCCTACGAAGACTTTATTGTGTACTGGATCAAAAAATAAGTATTTGTTTTGTCTATACGGTGGTATTAATATATCGATTTTTGATGATAGTGCCTTTTTACCCGGTCTAATTTTGTACTACTTTCGGAATAAGAGTCCCCATATCATGTACTGCAAATGTACTGTACTTCCATCCCTGAAAAATTCAGCTTGTGACACCGAAGTGAGAGGTAACGTCAAAATAAGCTTTAATCTACCTACATCATAGGTAGGTGGAGGTACTCTAGGTATATTCTACCTAGACAGTAGCTGAACTAGTTGACAGTAGTAATTAATTTGTTATCCGATAAGTAGTTGTCATTATATAAGTTTAATCATCTTGTACCTCCTATAACGGTAGGTTTTGGATTTTTCCTGATTGGTTTGTTAAACAAAAATATACTGGGCATATAAATGTCTGTTACAGGTTAATTCGTTAAAGAAATATGTTACACACATATTATTTTAATAGTATTGGTTTTAATAGTAATGGCTATATTATGTTATAACACATACATATGTATTGAATGTACTTATTTTAACCAGGGTCACGACGCGCGACGCTGCCGAAGAGGAATTGGCCTACGTTTGGCTAAACAGGCTGGACACGGTGGAGTACGATATTGGCGAGTCTGAATATTTATAAAAATTTGCAAAGTAAAATATGTTGGAAAAATAATTAATCCATACATATATAAAAGCTCAAAGGGTTTTTTTGTTGCATCCATCCCGCCGAAAGCGCTTTACCAATCTTGATGATTCTTTTTTTAAATGAAAGGTATATATGTGTAGATTTGTTATGAAGTATTTTTATAGTGCTTAATGGCTATTTCTTTGTGTAAAACGACTAAATACTAAAACATACCTGAAAACACCTACACACAATACCTCCAGAAATAAATTAGTTGTCATTGTCAGTGGTGTGTCAGTTAGATTATATATTACGTTTTTAGATATTTTAGAGTGAGTTGATGCCGCCAGCTTTAGATACATAAATATTAGCACAAAGGTTCGTTTAAACGACATTAGTGAATTAGCTACACAAAGCGATTTTAGGAAATTCATCCTCTTAGAGAGTAAAATTATCTCGGAACAGTTTGTTGTATGAAAATTCCTTACTATTTCGTCTAGAAGAATGAAATCCTACAAAAAGAATTAGAAGAAATTTTTGAAATTCATCAACCAAATGGGTAAAGTTAGTAAAAATTTATATAAAACTTGGTGACGTCTGGATTATACACATAAAAATTGGCACAAAGGTAAAGCGAATTTATGAAATTTATACCCTTAGGGAGTAAAATAGGGAATGAAAGTTTGCTGTACGAAAATGCAATACTATAACATTATAAACCAGACAGTATAAAATTTTATACAAGGGTTTATTTAGTGACATCATAAGGAAATATATCTTCCTCAATTATCCTTCAAAGAATAAAAAATAACCTATAAAGAGAGTATTAGTGCTCTTAATAAATAAAAAAAAGATGAAAAATAAAAAACATCTATATGTTCACTAGCTCTCTATAAAGAAGTAAAAAATCATTTAAATCAATGCATAAACGATTCGAGGTGTAACGCGAACGTAGTTGCGAGAAAAAGCTAGTAATTTATTAAATTATTTTATTTAACTCATTAATTTTCATTGAAAAGGAATTTTTGTAATTCGCCACTATATTAGTTAAAAACTAAGAAACTCATATCAAATTTAAGTTTTGCGATTTTGACTTATACTTTTTATAAAATCTGAACACATTTTAAAAGAAAAAAAGTTTTTGATAATATTTGTGTAGATTGACTACAAGTTGTATAACATAAATTTCTACGACCGGTCTACCTAGTAGTCTGCAGCATCGCCTTGTGGGTGCAAACGTGGGCCTGTTAATCTGTGACGTGACGCACAACAGCCAAGAAAACAGAAGCGTGGCTAAGAATTTAGTAATTTAAAAAAGCCTTTTAGATACAGTAGTAGGTAGGTATAAAAAGTTTTGTGTTTAAATGGGGTTTGCCTTTAACAGTTAAAAAATTATATCGTAAAGTGTAACTTTCCGTAAGAATTCTTTATCTGTCATTGATCATGATCTGTCATCATGTTAACCTGATGTTTTGTATGTTATTTTGTTTTTTTCGAGGTTTTTTTGCTTGCTTGTTTTACGGATAGGTGCGATCGCATAACTATTATTGATAATGTTTTATTTAATATTAGCATTACTACTTTTTCAGTGAATCTTTAAATCTGTTGTTTTTTTTTAAGTTCGTTATTTAAACATATGTATATAATACACTCATATTAACATTAATCATATTTTTACGTTTTTATTCATCATTTTCAATGCCCCCCCGGTTGCATCTTTGTAAAGGACTGTGAATTTTTTTCCTTTATTTTTCCCAGTAGATAAATTACCTGGACATTTTATTCGAAATATAAACCGCCTGTCATAATTAGCGACGAGACGAATTCATCAAGCGATAACGAATTAAATTGCCGCTCCATTCATTCGGCGCGCCCGGAGGCGAGTAGGAGGCCTAAATGGAAATTTGTTACGGCAAGGACGAAGAGAGGCGGATAGAGAGGAAATAGAGAGAATGGTGTGGAGGAAAAGGAGAGATGGGGAATGGAAAAAAGAGACGAACCAAACCAAACCAAACTTAATACTTCGTCGTCGTGTGATGGGAGGTCTGGGATTCGCGCAGGATGGGAGGACGGGGTTTCGAAATTGATTAATCAGTGGAAAATCGTCATCGATAAAAGTATGCTCAAAAAATTGTTATTTTTGAAGTCAGTACATATTTTCTGCGGTAATGATGATTTTAAATTCTATTTGTTTTTTAATGAACTACTCAAAAAAATTATCGCATATTTTTTAAAAAAATATTAATTTGAAAAACAAGACATTGGACATAGTTTGGATATTGTGAAGGGAAATTCGAAACAATATGCCTACGCGTTGACCTGTAATTTTTAGTCCGTCGAATACTTAGTTGCAAAACTGAAAACAATACATACTTATGGAGTTAGCCGATCGGCCGAATAGTTGATTGCATGTGAGCGCGACTCCATAAGGATATATGTGTTACAAACATGCAAATAAATAGTCGGTCGATTAAAAATTACCTGTCAACGCATAGCAATCGCAATACAATCAAATATTGGGCCGATAGGCTCCATAAGAATGCATTGTTTTCACTTTTGCAACTAAATAGTCGGCCGACTAAAAATTAGATGTCAGTGCGTACCCTAATTATCTTTAAGAAACTCACAAGAGAAAGGCAGAAAAAAATGCATGCTTCATTAAGAAATGTATAATAATTACTTTTATTCAAATATTCGATAATTTTATTATTGTTTTGAGTGGTGTAGTTGCGAGCTAATCCTGCATATATTGACATTCAAACGGAAATCCAAAAAAATAAAAAAAAGTGAAACCAAACCAAACCAAACACATTTTCATAACCAACAAAAAATACTTAAAAGTAACTTTTTGACACACTTTCACATTTATAAAATCAAATTCAGTAATACATATACAGGGTGTCCCATTTTGGTTGAAATCATAGGGTATCTCCGTTATTCGTGAAGGTAGAATGGTGCGATTTGCACAAACCTGTACCAATTTTTTGCCAAACGGAAGATGCCGTAAACAAAATTTTCATAGCCCTCTTCATTTCTAAGCTACAGGGTATTCTTGAAAATTTTGCAATTTGGGACACCCTTTGTATCTCTGTTATTGTTAAAGGTATCGAGACGGTGAAAACTGTTTAT